TTTTATAAAACTGCATAAATTTTTAAAGTTCTTTAAATTCCAGATCTGATTTTTAAAGAACACTTTGTAAACATGAATCTGGCATGTTTGATTTTCTTTTAACCAAACATTTTACTAAATCAGGTGTGTATAGGAACTGAGACAGAAATACAAAAAAGTTGACATGGTTCCAGAACCCAAGTGTTGTTTTTTTTTAAGTGAAAGCTAACTTAGTATATTAAGGCGAAAAAGTTGCCCTTGTTCCAGATACTGAGTTTTTAAATTGAAAGTTAATTAAGACAAAGACAGTAAGTATAATATACATAATTTTATTACAAAAATTTTTTTAAAAAACAAAATGCAACAGTCTAGAAAACCAAAAATTTACTATTGATTCTAATTCCTATGAGTTTGCTGTGCTACCATACACAATTCAAAAATTAAAGAAACCATTAAATATTTAGAAACATTTAACATCAGAAGCCTTAAAATCTAACTGTATGTAGTAGCCCCTCAAAAAGCTACAACCTGCATTTTTATAAAAGTATTTTCTCTACAAAGAATCTTAGCTATACAAAAATCTGTACAGTTTTTATACTGAAGCTAATATTGAGCTGCACTTGAATTCACATTCTTAGCAAAACAATTGCCTGAGAGCACACACACATACTCCACACATCATTATAGGATAGCCATTTATTCTTCATCTTCATCCTCTTCCTCCTCATCATCTTCCTCTTCTTCCTCCTCCTCATCTTCTGGTTCATTCTTCTTCTTTGAGCCTGTTGGCCTGCCAGGGCCCTTCTTTCCCACTTCACTTTTGCCCTTGGCACGGTATGCAGCAATATCCTGAAATATTGTCAAGAAAATAAAATCAGTATCCGGTGTCATTTCTCAACTGAAAACCACTACGTTGTAAACAATCTAAGATTATTGACCAATAACCCTGGTGACTATCTAAAAAATTGTTCAGTCTAACTCAGTTTCGAGAACATTTGTTCCCTCTAGGCTTTAGAAAGCTAATGATATAAAATGATAAGGTGGTATTAATCAATGTCAGTACTTTTCACTACCACCATCCATTTACTTAGCCCCGGACTACCACCCTTCAACTTCACATTTTAGAAATATCTACCTAAAATACACTTGGCCCTCCACATTTTCAAACTCAGAGGCCTATATAACCACAAAAACCACAAATTAGAGTCTATTTGCTCGAACCTACCAGTGCTACAAACACTGGTTTCAGTCTAAAGAAGGGAGATTTCTCAATTCGTTTGTGTTGCTTAAGTGTACAATTTTCACTAGGCCTGTTCAAAACACAGCTGACAGCCATACAAGGTTATCTACACTTCCCAGCTTTCTACACTTTATGCCTACTTCTAACATACTTGTTTAGAAAGTATCTACCTGATTTCAACCCTGGCTTTAAGAGGCATACCTTTTCATATTTCTCCTTTAGCTTAGCTGCTTTTTGTTCATAGGGTTGCTTATCTTTGGCCGACTGTTCAGACCACATTTCACCCAATTTCTTTGCAGTATCCCCAATGGATAAGCCAGGGTGTTCACTTTTGATCTTTGGGCGATGTTCAGAGCAAAACAGGAAGAAGGCAGATCTGAAAGGAAATAACAGAGTTAATAAACTGAGTGAAAAATCAAGGGGCAAACCGAGTGATTAAAAAAACAAGAACACTTACGGAGGCCTCTTAGGAGCATTGGGATCTTTCTTCTTTCCTTTCTTATCCCCTTTGGGAGGAACGTAATTTTTCATCTCCCGGTCGTAGCGAGCTTTGTCACTCTTGGCCATATCTTCAAACTTTGACTTTTCCTTTGCAGACATGGTCTGTGGGCAGAAAAGGAGCAGTAGAAACGCAGCAAAACTAAGCTGCACACATCCGAAAGGCCACGTTTCCCCTCGGTGACCAGCATTTTGCTTTAATCGTCTTCAACAAAAACCTCCGGGCTCCTGCCTAAACCTCTAAATAAAACATTCGGGCGAGTCGTCAGGCCAGGAGTCGCAGGTCCCCGGCCGGCCGTCCTCGCCCCACTCACACCTGAAAACCCTCGGCTCACGGCCGCCCCCCGGCTCACCTTCCATCTCTCCGAGCATTTCTTGGAGAATTCGGAAAAATTGACGGAAGAGTCGGGGTGCTTCTTCTTGTGCTCCTCCCGGCAAGTCTGCACGAAGAAGGCGTACGAGGACATCTTGCCCCGCGGCTTGTTGGGGTCTCCTTTACCCATGGTGACAGGCGGCGTCCACCTAGCCGGGGGACAGCCGGTGGGTGGGCGCCCGCGGGGCTCGGCTTCCCGCCCAAATCCGCGTCGGCTCGCGCCCCCCCCCTCGCGGGGGCGGCCGCCGGAGACCGGCTCCCCCGCCGGCCCAGCCGCCCCGGGCCGCGGCGACACCGCCCCCGCGCCCGACGCGGCAGTCCCGCTGGGGCCGCCTCACCCGCCACCGACCCCGTCCCCCCAGAGGCCGGAACCGCCGCCGCCCGGGCCCCGGCCCCCGGCCCCGGCGGAGGGAGGGAACGCCGCGGGCGTCCTCGAAACTCCTTTCCTGACAGAAATGTCCCCTGCCTTCCACGTCGCGAGCCCCACTCAGAGTTGTCGCCTCGCGACCGACATTAAAAAACTAGCGGAACCGAGCCCGGACGAGCTTCCCGCCCGCCCTCCACAGCCCGAGGCCCTCACCGGCCCGCACCCTGGGTTCCGCTCGCCGGGGCAAACGGCGAGAGCACAGCGCCAAGTCCGGCTGCGAGGGAAGGGGGACAGCAGGCCCACAAACCCCAGGGGTCGAAGGGGATTCTTGCCTGGTGGTAGGTGTTCCTCAGAGTCCCGCCGTGCGGCCGGGTGCGTCCGAGACACTTCCCTCGCTGGGCTCCGGCGTGAACTGGTTTATCCCTAACCCAATCCTCAGCCTCTTGTTTTGCAGAGTTCTCCGCGCCACGGCAACTTGACGAGCCGGACTACAGGCCACACCCCGCCTCTATGATTGGGTCTGGTGATTATTCAAACTATGGGAAGCCCCGCCCCCTCCCGTTGGAGGCTTCCTATTGGTCAGAATCTCGCCGGGTCCGTCCCTCCACCCCCAGCCTAGCAGGTTCGGTGGTTCGCCCAGGTCGTTAACTCCTAGACCCGTTAGAACCGGTCAGGGGAGGAATGTACTGCTCGATCCTGATTGGCGGCAAGGAGAGGGTTTGAAAAATGGCGGGCCTGGCGCTGACTGGCTAGGGCAGTAAACGAGGGGGAGTGGTTGGCCGGAAAAGGAAAGCCCCGCCAGATTTTAAAACACCGAGTCGCGAGCTTGGGGGTCGTTCTCAAGGGTTGGGGGCGGCGACTAGGTTTGCGTCGCTGAGGTAACAGAAGCAGTCGGCCCTGCCCCTGCTCCGACCAGTTTCCAGGTCCTGTTTCTCCTCCGCCTCGTCCAAAGAATAATAAATGGGGAAAGACCGAGGGGTTTGCCTTGCGGACCGGTCTCCGAGCTCCGCCCGTGGTGCTTGGGTTGGGGCGGAACCCAAGGAGGACAGGAGCTGGCGGAGAACCTGAGAAAGGGCGCGGGAGGGCAGCTGTTCCCGCTTCCCGAGGGGTGTTACAACCCCACCTAACCGGGAGGCTTTCTGCCGGCGGAGTTTCCCTCAGAAGGCCCCTCCCTCCCTTCCTTCCCCCTTTGTCTGGAGTGTCAAACACCGAGAGGTAAACAAGCGCGGCCTCCCCTGGCCCCACCCCACCGTCCTGGTCGGGATTCCCAGCTGCTGCCGCCGGGCTGGGACCCGCTCCACCGGCCGCGGCGTGGAGAGGAAGCCCTGGTGACCTCCCCACCTTGGGGTGGCCCAGCTATCACCTTATTATTCCCTGTCTTGTCCCTCCAATGTTTTTTAAAGTTTTCAATATCAAAGAGACTCCCATAAAAGCAATGTGGGTGATGCTCCCCACCCGCAGTTGCATACATTCGCCAATCCGCACCCAGCAGCGTTCTGCAGACTCCGCCAAGCCTATGTGACCTTCGTGTTAGCGGCGAGCGAGAGCGCACCCAGACTTCACTTAGTGCTTTCTAGCGTCACGCTGCTTTTTCCAAGGGGGAAGGAGTTTCGCTGACAGGATGCTATTTCTGCATTATATTTACTTTTGAAGGCTATTTTTTCGTGTTGGCCCGTATGTTGCGCTGATAGTTGGGTTTCAACAGATTTTAAATAGCCTTATTTTCTCGGTAGCTTTGCTGTCATTTGTTGGACTGTGTGCTTCTGCTTGGTTTGTAATTGATCATACTCAATAGAACTTCAGAACCAGCAGCTACTAATCTAGACGTACTAAGAATACTGGGTTGTTGTTGTTTTTTCATGTGTTTTCCTTGGAAATAGATATAAGTTGCACAACATTATCCATGTACTTAATGCTATGAATTTAAAAATATATTTTAAAGGTGTAATGCATTAGTGATCTGTTTACTGCTATTTAAATTCATGCAGTACGATTTATTTTGTCAAGTTGAATTTTTGAATGTTTTTATAGCACAACTGGAACTGACCTTATTTGAGAACAGGATCATTGCAGATGTAATTAGCTAAGATGAGGACATACTGAAGCTGGGTGGGCTCCTAATCTAATATGATTGGTGTCCTTAAAAACAGGGAAAATTTGGGCACAGATAACAATCATAGAGGTAAGGTGATGTGAAAAGACCCAAGAGAAGGTGGCCATATACAAGCTAAAGAGAAAGGCCTGGAATAGATCCTTCCCATGCAGCTGACAGAAGAAACCAACCCAGCCAACACCAATTTATATTCTTTACTCCATTATAGCAGAAAACAGGAAAACATTTCTATATTGAATCTACTTTTACCAATGATGCTAAAACTTCACTCTCATGCTGAACTTCCTGTCCTAGAAGTAACATTGAGTGTACCGTGAACTGATAAATGAAATAAGGTTTAAGTGTGATATAGACAGTTGTTGGTTATAGAGCAACCCTTTTCTTTTCTTTTTTTTTTTTTTGTACGTGCCCCTAGAGGTAACTGAACCCGGGACTCTGGTCCTCAGGCCAATGCTCCAACTGCTGAACCAAACCGGCCAGGGTGAGCAACCCTTTTTTAAAATAAAAATTATGTACAGAATCTGTTAGCACAAACAAAAAAAAGTCTAATCCCAAATGTAGTTCTGAAAAGATGGATTAAATATACAAGAAGCCTAGTTCACTATTATGAATTACTTGGGAGACTATTATAACTATCAGAAAACTGAAATGTCTTATAAAGAGGTAATACTAAAGATGTTTCTCATTGTTTCTAATCTTGTATGGTTCTAAATGGGAAAATAAGATTGTATTTCTAAAACTCAACTTCAGAACCATATCTTTTCAGGAACACATCAATTTACTCTATTCTCAAAATAATTTTCCAGATTTATTTTTATTAAAATGATGCATCTTTCTAAAAATGACAAAGAGGAAAGTGTTTACTATTTTTTTTTTTTTTTTTTTTTTTTTTTTAGTGTATAAATTACAGTCCAGCAAGGGCTTGTGGTTTTGATTGAGAAATTGTAAAATGACATTTGGGAAATAATCTCTAAAGTACCATTCAACTTAAGTGTATGATTCTGTAATTCTGTGAATGTGATCATAATGTGGGAAAATATATATTTTAACTTTTGTAATTATTAGGTGGCCAAGAGATTATAATTAAAAATTCAAAAGATAACTTGGATTCTAGGAAATTCTTTGGTTATGAATACCCATTAGTTGTGAGCCCTGTAACTTCAAAACAGTATTTGATGAAATAAAAGATTATAGCTACCCAAATGTAATAAACTATATAGACCACTTTAGGTACACAATATTGTTCAGTCATCTTAGTCTTCTAGGAACATGATCTTACTAGATAGAGTTTTCCCCCACTTAAATGATAATAATACAGCACTTTATTTGCCAAACTTTGCCTGAGTTCAGCATCTTACAAATTTTAACAACATAAATATTTAGCAATAAAATAATTACGAGTTAGGCTTGAAGCTGTTTCCAAAGTAGGTCCCTATCCTGTAGATATAAATAGCTATTCTGTAAACTAGAATTCATCCATAGCAGTGTCAACCTGGCAGGATTGTGTAGAAAGGATCTGGGTTTTGCTAGCTATTGAAATTCCTATCATTTATTCAGTCAGTTATCCTCAGAATTTGGACTTTTCATAATCTGAAAGAAAATAGCATTGTACATTTTTTGGTAACTGCCCCTCCCTCGCGCCACTACCCCCACCCCCACAGAGCAGTAAATAAGTTCTAAATAATTATTTCTTATTCATTTTTTTATTTATTGATTTTAGAGAGAGAGGAAGGGAGAGGGAGAGAGAGAGAGAAACACTGATGAGAGAGAACATCGACTGGCCGCCTCCTGCATGCCCCCCACTGAGGACCTGGCCCACATCCTAGGCATGTGCCCTGACCAGGAATGGAACCAGCGACTTCTTGGTGCATGGGTCAACGCTCAACCACTGAGCCACACCGGCCGGGCTTATTCTTTATTGATTAACTCATATAGTTAGCCAAAATATAGTATACTTTACATAAGATTAGTTGCATACAAATAAGTATTGTTCTCTCCAGTTGCATGATGTAAAAAACTGAAACCATTACTCTGCACACATGTTAGCTTCTCAAAGATGATTCTTAATGTAACTTTTTCAAGTTGTTTTAAAGGCAGTGAGAGGAGAAGGATAAGTATACTGAAGTATTATCAAACAGGCACATCCACTTACTGTACAGGGAGATCACTGGTTCTGAGGCCTAACTGCATACTCACTTCAGAGATTCAATTTAGTGACATAGTTAAACAATGTATTTTTGAAGAAATGAAAATTCAGGTTAAGAAAAAACAAAATAATTCCACTGCTAGCATTTTCAATGAAAAAAAAGTGGTAAGCAAAGTTACTTGGTTTTTCTTTAAAAAAAAAAAAGCTGTTAACTACTTTTTTTGAATCATTATGAATTAAATGGCAACCCAAAAATGTTATTTACTTTCCTAAAGCCTCCATTGCTACAATGGGGGGGGGGGGGAGTGCAGATTGAAAATTTTATGTTTTTAAATACATTGGAGACCTGTTGAAGCAATCAAAATAATTCAAACTAAAATTTCAGACAGTGAAGAGTTCTTCATAGGTATGCTGATGATTTTGGGGAACAATCTAGATTTTAGACGTGGAACTGAGAATCAATCTGATTACACCCAGGTATAAGGATTTTTATTTACAAAGGAAAAGAGAATCTAGTAAGTTTTTGGCAATTGTGTGGGGTTAACACAACCAATTGGAAACTAGAGAACACCTAAATGTACATAATGATCTATTTCCCACACAGGCTGAATTCTCAGGTGGTATGGGAGGCTAGAGAATTGTGTCAAAAGCTTCTAAAAGACAAAGTGAAATCTCCTAGCGTTTCATGGTACTTTGTGGACAAAAGTCTGGCCTGAGTGAGAAGGTCTGCCAAAAACACATCACTGGTCTCTTCCTGAAGATATTTGCTATATTTTGAAGCTGTGTAGACAGAAATGTGGAGAGACAAGCTCAAAACTCCCAAAGAGCAGAAATGAATCTTCTCAGGGATAAGGAGACAGACACAGACAACACTATGGTAAAGGCCTGGGTTGGGGCAGAGGGTGGGTGGAGGAGGGGAAATGGGGGAAATCTGTAATACTGTCAGCAATTAAAAGAAAATTGAAAGTTAAAGAAGCCCATGTGACAATGTCTGAGAAATAGGAATGAGCCAGAGGTGAACAACATCATACTAAAACTTAATAACCCAGCCTGGATACATACAGCTTAATTTCTCACTGGATTGAGATAATCAGCCCCTTATCCTTCAAGGTTGATTCTGCCTAACAGGGGAAAGATCAAATCCTATCTAGTAGAAGAGATCATCTGGAATATATCATAATGAAAAATTTTAAAACTAAAGACAGAAAATCTTAGGAACCAGAAGTAGATGACACAGTAATCTTTAAAAAGCAACAGTAAGTCTGAATGCTGACTCTTCAACAGAGTGAGGAAATCCAGAAGACAATAGAATGACATTTTTAAATTACTGAAGAAAAAAAATGCTAACCTTAAGTTCTATATCCAGGGAAAAAGTTTTCAAGAATTAAGGCAAAATACAGATGTTTTCGGAAAAACAAAAGCTGAGAGAATTTATTGCTTAAGGAAAATGGTCCTAAATCCTCAGGAGGAGAAAAAGAGCACAGGGTGAGTATGTAAATTTTAATAGTATTATTTGTTTAAAGCAGCAATAATAATAATGTTCTGTGAGTTTTTATAATGTAGGAATAGAATATATAACAACTGCACAAAAGATAAGAGGGGTAAGTAGAGTTAAATTGTTTTAAGGGTCTTTCATTATTTAGAAAGTGATAAAAGTAGTAATTTGTATTAAGCTGTAATATGTCTAGCATGCTATACTTCGGGGTGCTAGTTACATAGTTCTATTACGTATTCATATACATACATACATATATACATACATACCTATGTAGATATATGCATGTGCAAAAATTCATCTCCTTATGCCAGGTCTTAAATTTGTCTCTGAAAATTCGTATAACATCACTAATCATTAGGGAAATGCAAATTAAAAAAACTACAATAAGATACCATTTTTTGCCCACTAGGATGGCTATAATCAGAAAGAAAATAGCAAGTATTGTTGAAGATGTGCTAAAATTGGAACACATACATCACTAGTGGGAATGTAAAATGATGGTTACTATAGAAAACAGTTTGGTAGTTTCTCAAAATTTAAACATACATTTACCTAGAGATCCCACTCCTAGGCATCTACCCAAGAGAAATAAAAACCTAGGTACACACACACACCCAAAAACTTGTATGCTGTTGTTTTTTTTAAGGCAATGACTTTTTTTTCACTTGAAGAACAGTGCACTCAAAATAGTCAAGAACATTTTAGATGTTAACAATATGAAAATAAAGGAATCATTTGATAGAAAGTGAATACAACTAATCTATTTTAGGAAATAGTAGTTAAGAGTGTCAGAAGGTCTTGAATTGTATTAGCATTGTGATTTGGCTCATATTTAGCTGAATATTGCTTTCATACAATAGGCAAATAATTCTTTTGTAAATATTTTAATCTATTTTTTGTGTTTCCAATTAAATTTGTGATATATGAATACTGTGCTGATTTTATATCTAGCCAATGACAGTTTCAAGTTTGTTAATGACTGAAAGCTGCAAATTCTGGTGTAAATACTCATAAATATAAAGGTGATATATTTACAACTTTATTCCCTAAATAATTTTGTTACAATGCTTAATAGTTTGATTATATTTAAAAATCTGTTCACAAACAATATGAGATTTTCAAATATCTAAATTTAAAACCCAGAATTCTATTAGACTAAAAAATACACTTATACATAGTTGAAGATTAGACTAATAAATTAAGAAAAAGAAGTATTTACACCTTGTAGGACAAGCTGAAAGATTTAAGGGCAGTAAAAATTGAAGCAGTGATCTTACTTTGTTAAAAACTTCAACAGAAATTCTAGGAATTTCTGAAACCAATTCTCTGGACAATAATTCTATCCATATACAGACACAACAGAATTCTATCTATTCAGTAATCTCTAAGCCTATCTCATTCCCACTTTTTTAGTTTTGGGGGGGAAGGGGAGAGGGGGCATTGTCTTTAGGATCTTGGGAATGGAGTACAGGTAGCCCTAGAATCAGTCTTCTCTCCCTGCTGACTATGAGATAAAAAACAAGTCTATTTTCAATATCCTAAAACAGAAGTCAATGAAATAACTCCATAAAATGTAAAATAGTTAATGTAGACACAATTTAACTAAAATAATCTGTATTTCTCAAGCCTTTCTCCTACATAAGGTTCCTGACATCCCACTATGAAGATTCTGGATTCATCTTCAGGTTCTTTATCTTTTTTTTAAATATGTTTTTGATTTTTAGAGGGAGAAAGAAACATCAATTGGTTGCCTCTTGTATGCACCTGACCAGGGATCAAACTCACATCCTGGGCATGTGCCCTGCCTGGGGACCCAGCTGGTGACCTTTCAGTGCACAGGTCAACACTCAACCAATTGAGCCACACTGGCCAGCGCTCCAGGTTCTAATATAAACTATTATCTTCCAGTGCTGCTTCTCACCCTGCATACCCCTCTCACCACTGCAGCATCCTAAAATATAATAATTTCATAAAAAGATTTAATCCTACAGACCTCCAACATGTCTATATTATGTTTGAAGCAAGTGAGAAAAAGACACTGAAAAATATACATGCTGTTTTATGACAAAAGATATGAGCAAAGGAGAAAGAAGGCGTTAGGCATGAAAGGTAGGGAAGTGATAGTGATAAGCAGTAATGAGGGAGGATTATGGGGCAGATTGCACAACATGACAAGTATATGGAGCTGGACATTAGATTTTATAAATTGTATTAATGCCATTTGCATTTAACAATAAAGTATGAAACAATACCATTTATTTAACAAACAATGTCCACTTTGTGCCAGGCACTGCTCCAAGTGCTCTAAAAATAATCCATTTAATCCTCCTAACAATGCTAATGCTTTTTTTCTTTCTTTCTTTCTTTCTTTCTTTCTTTCTTTCTTTCTTTCTTTCTTTTTTTTTTTTGTGGTACATGCCCCTAGCTGGAACCGAACCCAGGACTCTCTGGTCCGCAGGCCGACACTCAACCGCTGAGCCAAACTGGCCAGAGTGAGATAGATATACCTTTTCATATTATATAGTAAATCACTGAAGCAAAGAGAATAAATTACCTGCCCATGGTCATATTGGGTATTTCAGAGGGAATGTTATTACCTCTATTATTGGGGGAATCCTTACAGAAGGGCTGGAGGAGCAAAAAGGGGTAGGAAAAGTATTGCTATCCAGAGGTAACTACAAGAAGAGTTACCATCCTAGCACTGGGGAAACAAAAGAGAAAGTAGTATTATCCAAAACCCACAAATACTGTGCTTCTCGGGCTTTTGGAACATAGCTGTCGCATGATTAGAACTATCTATTCTCTGCTTTGCAGGAAGCCAGTTGACTTCTTCCGCCCCCCCCCCCCCAACTGCTAGAGCTAGAGTTGAAAAGTACAGTGCTGCTGAGGCTGCTGGAGCCTGAAGAAGAAAAGTGCCTTCTATCCTCCTCTTTCCTTTTAATCTCCCATTAGCAGAACTGAACATGAGACTAACTAGCAAGTGAGTCTGGAAAATGTTTTTTGGATCCCAGTACTCTTGCAATACAGAGGAGAGAGTAGAACGAGAAAGGAGCTGAGAGACAACAGACAAATAACCAGCACAGTCTAACAACCAGCAAGTGGCAGAGTTTAATTCTCTAGCATCTGGCTCCTGAGTCCATGCTCTTAACTATTATGGACGATGCTATGACACTATGACATACTATAACAAGAGTATTTCAAACATTTAAAAATTAATGTCTCATCGTAAATGTGGTAAATAGCTGTAAAAAAAAAAAAATGTAGGAATTGTATTCATTGAATATTTAGGAAGTTCCTACTTTGTGCTAGGCACTGTTCACTGGAAATACAATAATGGGGAGATTTAAAAAGAGAGAAGAGCCCTGGCCAGTTTGGCTCAGCGGTTAGAGCGTTGGCCTGCGGTCCACAGAAACCCGCGTTCGGTTCCTGCTAGGGGCATGTGCCTTGGTTGCAGTTTGTACCCAGCCCTGGTTGGGTCATGCGGGTGGCAGCCACTCGATGTGTCCCTTTCGTGTCGATGTTTCTCTCTCTCTCCCCCCCTCCCTCCCACTCTATCTGAACAAAAAATGTAAAAATGTCCTAGGGTGAGGATAAAAAAAAAAGAGAGAGAGGAGACCTTTCTTTCTTCCTGTTTCAATTGAACAAAATTGCCTAGGAAGGATTCAAACTGGCGGCTTGGCTTGAATCATGTGCCCACCCATTGAACTGACACTGTAGCTGAGGGATGGGTATGTGGAAATAACCTAGTGGAAATGCCCACTATAATCTTGAGAAAAGAATTTGAGTGCAGGTAGTTTATCTGGAGGATTCAGGAAACACCTGTAGGAGGTGGGGAAGTGAGACAAAGAAGGAAAGGCAGTAAATAAAGAGTGCCTTACCAAGCCAGCTACCACTAGCAATGACTGAAGCATAAGCCTACAGGAAAATTCAGGCAAATTGTATGAAATACGTGCCTCAAAGTTATCCCATGTGAGGGGCAAAAGAGCTAGGGATATCTATATAACATTGCATAAGGGATGCTGAGATGGAAGGTTGATAGTTCTCAAGCACTTCCAAGTTGCTCTGACTACACTGGCATATGACTTTCTTTCACTCTTGGCAGAGACTCCAGGCAAAGGGATGCAGATGCTGGCAGCTGAAAATTTGCCCCAGAACATTAAAGTGGTAAAAGCCAGAGAGGTAGAAGCAGGGATCTAGAGGGCCTCCTATTTATTTATCAGATAAAAATTTCTTATGTACAGAATTGTTATGATTTCTAAATATGTTCCTGCCTGTGAAAGAGTTTTATAAAGTATAAAGAGTCATTGTTTAGAAGTTTCTTGAAGGCAGGAAATGTATATCATGTTTTATATCTCTCATGGGACCTAGTACAGTGCTATACTAATGTAATTGGCTCAAATATTTACTGAGTGAGTTTGTTAATTTAATACCTGAACATATTTTCTAGGTTTACAAAAATGGAATTCTTTTTTTATTATTATTTTTTATCTTCACCCGAGGACATTTTTCCATTTTTTTATTCAGATAGAGTGGGAGAGAGAGAGAGGAAGAGAGAGGTGAAAGGGACACATCGAGTGGCTGCCACCCGCACAACCAACCAGGGCCGGGGACAAACTGCAACCGAGGTACGTGCCCTTAGCGGGAACCGAACCCAGGTCTCTCTGGACTGCAGGCCGATGCTCTAACCACTGAGCAAAACCAGCCAGGGCTGGAATTATTTTTGTACTTTCATTAAAATCAATAACTCATTTCTGTTGACTTCTGAAATAATTTTTCATCTGTTTCAAGGATTTTAAGTAGCATGGTCTTGTTCTATTCTATCATATTTCTTAAATCTAGACCATTGTGGCCCTGGCTGATTTGGCTCAGTGGTTGGAGCAACGGCCTGCAGACCAGAGAGTCCCGGGTTCGTTCCCACTAGGGGCACATACCAAAAAAAAAAAAAAAAAATCTAGACCAGTGTGTAAATGTAACAAAGAAGGAACTCTTACCCTTTGCAACAGCATAGATGGACCTGGAGATTATTATGCTAAAAAAAATAAGCCAGTCAGAGAAAGACAAATACCACATGATCCCACCTATATGTGGTATCTAATGAACAAAATAAACTGATGAAAAAGAAAAAGGACTAGAGGCATAGATACATGTAACAGACTGACAGATCTCAGAGGGGAAGAGAATGTGTGGTGGGGAGAGGGATTGAAGAGATTAGCCAAAGAACACACATGCATATATGCATAGCCCAAGGACACAGACAACAGTGTGGTGAAGGTGGTGTGGGACTGGGTGGAGGGAGGCAAAGTGGGTAGAATGGTGGACATCTATAATAGTGTCAACAACAACAACAAATCTAGACCATTGTAGATAACTGTTAATTGTTTAGCCAATAATCATTCTCTCCTTCCTTCTTACTGTAAAAAATACCTTGATTATAAATAACTTACTGATAAATTATTGCTGGTTCAAACCAATTGTGAGAATGCTGCCCTGAGTAGCATGAGGGAAAAGCAAGAAAATCATAGAGGCCAACCCTGACATTGTTGAACTACAGAAGCAATACCAGGAGCCATCTTCCCTCAGCTTTCTTACTATGTCAGAAAAATAAACTCCTAATAATACTGTTAAACAAGTACTCTGTTCTATGTAGTCAGTGATTCATAACTTTTTAAATAGCATTTTTCTCCTTTTCAATAGCAATGCCAAGACAAGGCACTTTAATTTTGGAATAAATTATTTAAGACAGTAACTCATCAGAAAACCCAGACAAACAGTGTTTGGCCACACTAGTTTTAATCCTTCTGAACTTCCCTCTAAGGAAAGATCACAGTGTTCCCCACAGCTCTCTACCTGTGCTCTCCCCTTCAATATTTACTTTGATATTTTAAAATGTCTAAAGAATCTTAGTAGGGCTCTATCACCGAAAAAGTTGTAGTGAGATGATGGTACAAGTTACTTGAATCTCTCTGCTATAGTTTGGCCTTTCTGAGAGATGATCACAACCCTGAAGGTGGAATATATCCATCCTGTCCATATGTTCTCATTTTTACCATTTAAGGAAAATATATCCATAAACAGGGTAGTAGTATTCTGTTTTCACACTTTAAGCCAGCATTATCTAATGTCAGCCACGTGTATAGTTTTAAATGTTCTAGTAGCCACATTAAAAAAATGAAGTAAATTATATTTTGTTATATTTTATTTAAACCAAATTATAAAGTATATTTCAACATATAATCAGTATAAAAATTGTTAATAAGCTATTCAATATTCTGTTTTTAAATTTCTGCTACTAAGTCTTTGAAATCTCACTAGTAGTTTATACTTACAGCACATCTCAATTCCAATGCTGAATTTAGATTTCATAAAGTTTAAGTTGAAAAAATAGATTCATATACCCAGGTTGTTTGAAACATACTTAAAAGTTTTTCAATAACTGAAATTCGTTTCTAAAATTTAAAATAATTAACATTACATTAACAATTCCACTTTTCAGTCACAATGACCATATTTCAGGTGTTCAATAGCTACATGTACCTAGCGGACACCCTGTTTTTGGACAGTGAAGATCGAAAAGATAACACAAGACACTTACCATTTCACATCTTTCTTTTGTCTACTCAATTTATGTAATATTTTAATTCTTTTGTTTTCCTTTACCATATCCTAGAACGGAAGTCCACAGATGGACTTGGGTGGCTTTGAATTTTAGGGCAGATGACATTTTATATTTTTAAAAAATCATCGATCAATAAATTTACTCAGGAATTTTAAATGATTTAAAAAACCTATTGCTTTGTATTTTTTTTAAACAATGGAATTGTTAAACAAGGTATATTTACTGATAAGAACATGTAACTAGCAATAGTGCAGGTTTCCTATTAGCCACTCCTCCTCCTGCCCAGCCCTCCACAAGCACGCTCCCCAAGCACGCACTGTGCATGTACACACATACACATACACACGCACACGCCAACGGCGTGCAACAACCCCGGAAACGCGGTTTATTTATCCCCAGTGGAAACTTCCCGAAGTACACTCTAATTCGGTAATGGTAGGGTTCCACGTTCCCTTTTAATAAAATATATTAGACTCCGCCCTCTCCTGGTTCATTCCTGGAGGAATGAAAAAGATTGGAGGTGGCGGCGAACACAAGGCCTGTCACCGTCAACTAGTGAGTAGCTCCACCTCAGGAAGCGGCAGACTTTGTGAGCCCAAGAATAAAACGTGTTCCTTCCAGAAAAATATGCTAAAGATTTCGCAACGGCCTTCGGTCGAGGCATTTGTGAGGAGACCGTCACCGGAGAGATGACGGGCCGGGCATTTTCCCTGAAGCAGACGCTCTTATTAAGTCGCGTCAATGAATGAAGCTGCTCTTCCGCCGCGGTGTTGACTGCGGGACCTCCAGAACCCGAAAAGCGCCAACCCGCCTGAGTTCTCTTTGGTTCTGGTTTCCCATAACAACGTAGTCACACCAAAAACTCTTATCAAAAATAGGATAACGGCCCCGAAACTTTTATTTCCAGCACCCTCACTTCCCTCCTACTCCTGCCCCCCTCGTTTTGCGCTTAGCTTCCGGAGTTGAGTGACCGTCGTCGTTTAGAATGCCAACTCCGCAAAATTCCAGGAGCTAACCAACCAACCAACCAACGTCCCGGGAGAGATAAACGAGAAAACGTAGCAAACCCCAACAACACGCCCCTGTTTTTCCCAAGCTTTTAAAAAAAAAAAAAAACAGCCCGGCCCATCGTAGCGCAATGCATGCTAGGATAAGTAGTTCCCCCAACCGGCGAGGCGCGGGGTCAGAACAGAGTTTAGATTGACTCCCCAGAAGAGTACTACAATTCCCGTCTTGCCTTGCGGTGGAATGGAAGGGGCGGGACGGGAGAGGGCTCACTGCGCTTGCGCAGGTCCAGGGGCCGGAGGGAGGCGGAGACGCAGCGGTCCAACTGCTGAAGAGTCTCCATGTGACTGAGAGCTGGGTCCCAGCTCCAGGCGCCGCCCGACTTTGGTCCTCGACCCCAAGCTCTGGACAGTGTCCCGGAGCCAGTAGACAGCAGGACGCGGAGGACGCTTGGTGTTTGGCCGGGCCGCCAGAGGACTTGGGGTGCGGAGTGAATTGCCGCCTCTGGGGCAGGTGCCTAGGGACCCAGCCAAGACCCCGGAGTCTCCAGACGAGGCGGAGCGGCGAGGCGAGCGGGGATTTCTGTCAGTGCCGGCGTCCCCGAGCGCGGAGTCATGAACGGCTTCACGCCTGAGGAGATAAGCCGCGGAGGGGACGCGGCCGCTGCAGTGGCCGCGGTGGTCGCTGCCGCTGCCGCCGCCGCTTCGGCCGGGAACGGGGCCGGGACGGGTACAGGAACGGAGGTGCCCGGCGCCGGGGCAGTCTCGGCGGCTGGGCCCCCAGGAGCGGCCGGGCCGGGACCCGGGCAACTGTGCTGTCTGCGGGAGGACGGTGAGCGGTGCGGCCGGGCGGCAGGCAACGCCAGTTTCAGCAAGAGAATCCAGAAGAGCATCTCCCAGAAGAAGGTGAAGATTGAGCTGGATAAGAGCGTAAGTGACGGCAGGACGGCCCAGCCCTGCCCGCCCCCTTGGGGCTCCGGGAGCCGTTCAGCAGGGGTTGTTGGGCCGGAGGTTCGGGGCTCCCCCAGACCTATCAGCAGTGCAAATCCATTGTGGGGACTCCGGTGGGAAGGAAACAAAGTCGCAGCAACTCTGACTGCCACCCCAACAGACACACACTTGCACGCTGCGCTTCCTCTCTCCCGCAACCCCCCACGCCCCGCCCCCCGCGCCCTTCCCGCTCCGTCTTCTCCCTTCCCCCTTCGCCGAGACCAGGAAACGAAACAAAGGGAACAAGCGCACAGAGGGAGGGCCTGGAGTAGTTTTCTTGTCGCCCGGCAGCTCCTTCTGGAATGGAGGCGCCTTCTTTGTTTTGGTGCCCAAGCTGGCGTCTGGCCTCAGGGAGTAGCTTCCCTGGTCTCGGGAAAGTGGAATCCTGCAAAGACCTGACATCGCAGTCAAGAAAGATCCCGTTCCTCATTCCCCAGTGTACGGGATGAGAGGGAAGCCGAGCTGCCCCTCCGCCTTGCAGGGACCCGGGGTTGTGAACGGTGGCGCCGCTGTCAGCATCTAGGGCAGCTCGCCGAACGTGGGGAGCACGTAGTCTCTGCGGCTTTGCCATCCGTTGGGCAGCCATCAGGTTTTCTTTTTCTGTCCTTTTTGCACGTCTGTCCTTTTGACCATCTATGAGACTTTTAGAAACAACCATTGCCACTTTCCGGAGCTCTGGCAGGTGGTAAAATTAATAACAAGATGTCAGAATCTAGCACGAGTCCTGCTTAATTTTAACTTGCAAGAAGTAACTGTTACTGTATGCAGCCAGTATTTCAAAAGTTACTGTGCAGCTCCCAATACTACACGTAATTAACATTTCGGAAGATTTGTGATACTTTCTGCTTGTTTCAGCAGTTCTTCAGTCACGTTCATGAGAAACTTTTTAGGTACACCTGAGTAATTTCGCATTGCTTTGTTGGGAAAACGTATTACATAAATACATTTGAAACGTTTATAATTTCAAATTTAAATATAGTTAGAATATGAATAGCTCATTTGTAAATGTATCTGGATTATAATTTAAGTGTTAGATTAGAAAGCATAGCATATATTATAATACTAACATGCTTTTTAAGTAAGAAAAATACTATCAAATAGCAAAATCGCGGGCAACATCATTCCCCTTGTTAGCAAAATAGCATGACTTAACTCATCTAGTCCATCCTCATTGCAATTTGATGACAGAATTGAGAGGGTTGGAATTTCTCATTCTTTCACTGTTTCCCTCCCCTCCCTTATCGTCGTCACTCCTCCCCACCCCACTTCCTAAGCCTCTTAACAGCATTGCTAGACAAGGCGTGTTTTAACTGTGTGCAGGACTTTAGAAAAAACATGCTCTTGCCTTACAGTGCCTGTGTTTTAACTTTTTTGTTTTTGTTTTTAATGATTCACTGTGGCCTATGTATTTTACTAATACATAGACACATTTTACTGTAATTCTGAGTAATCTGTGAAACTTTTCTGTTTCAGGTAAGGCATCTTTACATTTGTGATTATCATAAAAACTTAATTCAGAGTGTTCGAAACAGAAGAAAGAGAAAAGGGAGTGATGATGATGGAGGTGATTCACCGGTTCAAGATATTGATACTCCAGAGGTGAGGAAAAGTTTTGCATATTAAATGTAAATTCTAAATAGTCCATTCTGAAACTTTCATAAAAACATATGAACATATTTTTAAAATACTTAATGCATTTGAAAAATCTGAAAATGAAAGCAAAATTAAATATAACCAGTAACTTACAGTTATAGTTTGACTTGTTGTATTTCAATTGACAATTCTTACAATGCTGTTGTCTTACAACTTTTCCCCTAAACAGTTCTTAATATTTATCTTCAGAATATTAAAATGTTTATTACATAGTTTTGATTCTATAACAGGCTTTATAATTAATAGGATGAAATTTTTATTGTGCTGTAATTGAAATGTTATTAAACATATCAAAGATAAGTGTCTAACAAGTTACTTGAAGTAATTCATATATGTTAATTTTTTCTAGGTTGATTTATACCAATTACAAGTAAATACACTTAGGAGATACAAGAGACATTTCAAACTACCAACCAGACCAGGACTTAATAAAGCACAACTTGTTGAGGTATTTATGAGTTTTAAACTATTTAAAACTTTAAAGGACTCTTTCATACAAAAAAAAGAGTCATTAAATGCTAATGAAATTGTTAACAGAGTATATAAAACAATATATTTTAGTTAGAAAGATCAAAGTTAATAATTTTAAAACTCTATCATGAAAGTGTCTAGTTACCTAAAAATGTTTGTCTCTTAGAAAATCTCTTTAAGTAATGACTACTCAGTGGATTGTATATAGTTTTCTAAGCATCTTCCAATACTGGGTTTCAGAAATATTGAGTGAAAATTTTTAATTCTCATTCTAGGAATTAATTTAAAAATTCTATTTACTCAGTAAATATTTATTGAACATCTAATTGAGGGATAATAAAATAAATTAATAAGCTTTGATGTCTTTATTAGAATTTTTTTTTTTTAGTTTCAGATGAAATAGGTTTACAGATTCCCCTAACAGTATTTCCATAACTTTCTAATTTAACCATTTCACAATTTGTTCTTTTTTTCCCCCCACAATTTGTTCTTATAGATGTTAGTTTGTTTTATTTTAAGTATCCATGTTTTATTTATTTTTAAAATATGATTTTGTTGATTTTTTTTTTAGAGGAAGGGAAAGAAAGAGAGGGAGGGAAAAACAGATTGGTTGCCTCCCATACACACCCAGACTGGGGACTGAACCTGTAACCTGGGTATATACCTGATCAGAGCCTTTTGGTATAGGGGATTACACTTAACCAACTGAACCACACAGGCCAGGCTAGGCACCCATGTTTTCTTCACATCTAGAAGCTCCAAACTTTTACTTAAATAATTTGTTTTGATATAGGACTTCCTAGTCCTTTAGTGAATCTTGAAAAGTTGAGTGAGTGTGTATGAGAGTGTGTGTGTGTGTGTGTGTGTTCTCTCAGGAAAAATAGAACCAAGATATTTGTTTATGATATTAAGATATTTATTGGTTTATATATTTATACTTTAAGCATAATTAAAATAAAAATGGTTAACCTACTAGGCAGAATAGAAATGTAAATATATAAATAATTTTTTCCATATTCTATATCTTGAATTAAGTAATTTAACATTTTGTAAAATGTGCATATTGCATAAGATAAAAGGTGAATAGAAGGTACAATTCTTTGGCAGAATGGAATGCTTTTTAACTTTGTTAAGATCCAGTGTATTAACTTGTTAGCCAGAATTTTTTTTCTTCTTGCCTAGGCAACAAAAATTTAATTTGTCTTAAAATTTGATTTAAAACATCTAGTCTTTTTGGATTGTATAGCACATTACTATAATATAAATATAGATTTTGTCTACCGTGATGAAATGATATCAAAATGTACAGAAACTAATCAAGTGGAAGTACTTTGTTTTGGAACAAATGAGAACCGAAGAAACGATTAGTTTAAATGTACATATTCTTGCCCAGCTGGTGCGGCTCAGTGGATTGAGCATCCTCCCGTGGACTTAGAGGTTCGGGTTAGATTCCCAGTCATGACACATGCCCAGGTTTCTAGCTCTATCCCCAGTAGAGGGTGTACAGGAAGCAGCCAATAGATGTCTGTCTCTCACATCAATGTTTCTGTTTCTCCTTTCCTCTCTCTCTAAAAAATCAATAAAAACATATTTAAAAAAATAAAATATAAGAAATATACATATTCTTTAAGTATATAAATCAAACCTGTAGTTTTTGATAATCTAATCTAAAAAATCATTATTACTATTTTTTTAGAAATGGGAAATAGCCATGAATGTAGCCCTGGCCAGGTAGTTAGAACATTGTCCCGATACACCAAAGTTTTGGGTTCAATCCCAGTTCAGGGCATATACAAGAATCAACCAATGAATGTATAAATAGGTGGAACAATAAATCTCTCTCTTTCTATCTCTCTCTCTCTAAAACTAGTAAATAAAAGAATAAACAAATAGCCATAAGTGTTGTAGTTTATTTAGTCAGAAATACAGATAATAAAAGTGATTCCAGAGTTGGATAATGATCCTCAAGTCTTTTAATTATCATTTGGATAACCTTTTTCTAAAATTTTTTTCCCTTTATTGATTTTAGAGAGAGAGGAAGTGAGAGGGAGAGAGAGATAGAAACATAGAAGCCTCCTGCATGCCCCCCACTGTGGATCAGGCCCACAACCTAGGCATGTGTTCTGACCGGGTTGAACTGGCTACCTCTTGGTTCATGGGTCGACGCTCAACCACTGAGTCACGCCAGCTGGACTGGACAACCTTTCTTTGAGAAGTTTTATCTTCTAGAATCTAGATTTGCCTTTGAGCATCCCAGTTCTGTTAATTGTACTTATATTGGTAGTTGCAGTGCACATGTGAGATTAGTGGAAAAGCAAAAAAGTAGGTAAACATTCTTCAGTGAACATCCCCCTCTTTCCCCTCTCGTTTTCTCCATTTATAATTTTTATCAGTTTTCAAGAGAACTTAAAAACAATATTGCCCATGAATAAATGAATGAATATAAGTTGTAGCAAACATATTTGTAAGATATTTCATGGTTTGTTTCTATAGTACCAAACTTTCAACTTCATATTCTTTTTCTATGAGTGGGGCCTAAACCATTACATGATGCATGTGGACTCTTATATTCTGTTTTATTTCATTGATATTTAAAGTTTAAAAGTAAAAATATTGCTTCTGAGCTAGATTCCAATCATGAAATTTTAAATAAATAAAAGGAAGTATACATTCTAATTAATGTATATTTAATTGAGTGGGCTGAAGGGTCCTTTGACATCACACTGTCTCTTGTTCATGACATCTTATTCTTATATGCTTTTTGCTCTGTTGATATTTTGTTGAATACAATTTATTTTTAAAAGGAAATAGTTCTTATTATAGCGCTTTTTCTTTTGATGAAAGTGTGTGTTACTTAGTTTATGAAATCTGTTAATACCTATAATTTAATTTCCTCAATTTTTTTTTCTTTATAGATAGTTGGTTGCCACTTTAGGTCTATTCCAGTGAATGAAAAAGACACCTTAACATATTTCATCTACTCAGTGAAGAATGACAAGAACAAATCAGATCTCAAGGTTGATAGTGGTGTTCACTAGGAGAGATGGAATTGAGACTTAGACTTGGATATTCAGATGTTAAGACTGTTTACTGTTTTTCATGTGTAGAAATAAATGTTCCTGTGTATTTTTTCTACAGAGGATTTTCTTTGGTTTTATTTTCTTTGTTTCTGACTCTAATAATTAGTTGGAAACTCATGTAAAATGAGCTTTCCTAGATTAACAAATATTTTAAATAAAGATTATTACTATTATAGCTGCTTCAGTGTATTTATTTTGGGAAACTTGATTTTTATTTTACACTGACTTTAGGGACCTGTATTAATTGAGATTTTAATATAAAAATAATTTTGTTATCCCCTGCCTGCCCCTTTTTTATTCCAAGAAATTAACAGATTAAGGAGAAGTAACAAATGTACCACATTTGCTTTCTCTGGGACAATCTGATTTGGAATGAAGGACATCCTAAATAACGTTTTTTTGTAAAGTGCTTTTGAGTATTAACAAGTTTAAAACAGAGTTCCATTGGGATGTAATTTTTTTTTCTTTTTTATTATTATTTCTTGATGAAGTATTAGGAAGAAAAAACAGTTTAATTTAACGTCTACCTCCTTCCAAAGCAGACTTAATATGCCAGCAAAAATAAGCACAATGCTGAAAGTTCAAATAAGAACACAGAATTAGTTATAGCTGTTTATTTAAATTTTATTTTATATAAAGGTATTTATATGGCATGAATATAGAAAGAATCTCTGCAGTACCCCTTAATTTTCAGTCATGTCCTGTACTGTTTACATTGCAAATTAAGTGTAACAAGATCTTTACATTTTGGTCATACATAGCTGTGACTTAATTTATATTTTATATTTCACTCTGTCAATTTTCTATTGAATATTTTTAACTTCTGCTTTTCTTGAGATTGTATTGTTTACCTAAGTTCTTATAATTACAAATCAAATTTACATCTTGTACATTAAAACATAATAGCTTCAGTGAAGTATTCTGAAATTGTGATATAGATTTAGGCTGGAAATGGATGAGACCAGTAATGTAATGTAGCTCAGGGATTCTCAAAGTTAACATTTGGGACTGAAATTCCTTATGGTGAGAAGACTGTCCATTGTGTTATATCTAGCATCATCATTGGAGGCCTCACAGTAGTGCCAATAGCACTATGAAGATGTCACAAACAAAAAATACGTGTCAACATTGCCAAATATTCCTTGGGGGGCAAAGTCACCCCTGGCTAAGAACCACTGATGTAGCTAAATATAAAGTACTGGTTCATTAAAAGGTGAGTCTATATTTTTAAATGTTCTCAATGTATTAATAGCTAGAAAACATGGTGAACAACAAAGCAATTGGTCTTTGTTTTTGCTATGACCTTTTAAAGATTTGCTTGTTTCTTTATTGATGAGCAGAGGCTGTGATCTTTGGTATTATAGAATCCTCTCATATCTGGCATTCCAGAAATCTCTGTGAGAACCTTTTCCTTAGCTATATTAAGTGAACCACATAGCAACAAGCTATGTGGTTTATTTGAATAAAGGATTATTTCTAAATTTTATATTTTTACCTTAACCTATAAAGACTTCATTTAAAAACTGTATATTTTTATTGATTCTTTTAGAGAGAGGAAGGCAGAGGGAGAGAAATGATGAGAGAGCAAAGCATTGATCTGCTGGCTGCTTTCATGCCCTCTATTGGGGATTGAGCCTGCTACCTGGGCATGTGCCCTGACCAGGAATGGAACTGGCAACCTTTCTGTGCATAAGACAACGCCCAACCAACTAAGCAACACAGGCCAGGGCAAGACTCAATTTTTAATATAAAAACTTGGCTATTAGGCTTGCTATTTCCTAAAAAACACACTTAGTTCTTGTGGGAAAAGTTTTAAATTACTTATTTCAAAGTGTCTATAAATATAGCCTTGGACTAGCAATATTAGTTTCATACAGCTAATTATTTGCAAAAGATGTAGTTGGATAAAGAGTCAGTAAGAGTTCTGTGTGTTGATTATCCAAAGAAATTCTTGTTAGAGCAATTTAAAACATGAAAAATTCAGAACTTAAGAACCTTATCAAAGCTGAGGAACTCAAGAAGGTGCAATATAAAAGTCAATTTTTAATTCTTTGTTGTTGGGTTTTAAAATTGTGAATTCACTAGAAATATTTTTACTTATCTATATCAAAACAAAAATTCGATAGAAACTCATATATCTCTACAAGGGTAAAGGTTACTTTTAATGTTAGAGCATCAGAAGAAAGATTGCCTTTGGGATAGAAGAAAGAACACAATGAATGACTAGCATGGCCTCAAGAAATTAGTTCTTCAGTAACTACCTTTTACTGAACAATTTAGGAAAAAGCTAAAAATTAGTACCTGAAATATATTTAAGAAATCAAGCTCTATTATTTTTACCTAAGGCTTTTTTTTTTTTAATCCTCACCCAAGGATATTTTTTATTTGTTTTTAGATAGAGTGGGAGGGTTGGAGGGAGGAAAGGACAGAGAGAGAAAAACACTGATGTGAGAGACACATCGACTGACCGACTTCCACTTGACCCCGACCAGGGCTGGGGACTGAACTGAAAAACCTCTCAGTCCATGGGATGGTGCTCAATCCACTGAGCCACACAAGCCAGGCTAATTAACCCTTTTTGAAGTGTACAATTTGGTGGTCTGAACTATATAAGGATTGTTATATAGTGAATAGACTTGAAATGCTTTTGACTCTTGAACAACACAGAGGTTAAGGGAACCGACCCTCCTCACAGTAAAAAAATCCACGTATAACTTTTTTTTTTAATGAAGTAGAAACTTCTTTCTTTTATTATTATTATTTTTTTAAATTGATTTTAGAGAAAGAGGAAGGGAGAAGGAGAGAGAGAGAGAAACATCCATGAAAGAGCATCGATTGGCTGCCTCCTGCATGCCCCACACTGGGGATTGGGCCCACAACCTGGGCATGTGCCCTGACTGGGAATTGAACCATCAATCTCTTGGTGCAATCACTGAGCCACACCAGCTGGGCCCACGTATAACTTTTGACTCTCCAAATACTTAGCCTACTGTTGACTAGAAACCATACTTATATTATAACATAGTCGATTAACACATTTTTGTATGTTACATGTATTATATACTGTATTCTTATAACAAAGTAAGCTAGAGAAAAAAATGTTATTAAAAAATCATAAGAGAAAATACATTTACAGTACTTATTGAAAAAAATCTGCATATAAGTGGACTCACCCAGTTCAAACCCATGTTGTTCAAGGATATATCAAAGGATATATATATCCTTTGGTGTCTAGTTTTTTCACTTAGCATGTGATTATATATATATATATTTTTTTTTTTGGGGGGGGGGGTTTCTACCTTTGGCTATTGTGAATAATGCTGCGGTAAACATTAATGTACAAGTTTCTGCATGGACATCTTTTTATTTCTCTTGGGTATATACCTAGGAGTAGAACTGCTGAGTCATATGATAATTCTATAACATTTTGAGGAACCTCCAAACTTTTCCATAGTGGATGTGTCATTTTGTATTCCCACCAGCAATGTATAAGGGTTTCTATTTCTCCAAATTTCCAGTACTTGTATTTCCTGTTTTTTGTGTGTTTTTTGTTGTTGTTTTTTTTTTTTTAAATTAAAATCATCCTGGGTATAAAGTGTTATCTCATTGTAGTTTTGTTTGCATTTTCTTACTGATCAATGCTGTTGAATATCTTTTTCTTTGCTTGTTGGCCACTTGTGTACTGTCTTTGGAGAAATGTCTATTCAAGTCCTTTGTTCATTTTATAATTGGGTTATTTTTGTTGTTGTTGAGGTGTAGGAATTCTTTATTCTGGATATTATTCTGGATATTTAATATACAATTTATGAATTATTTTTTTCCCATTCTGTAGATTTCCTTTTCACAATCTTGAGAAAGATCTTTGATGCACAAGACTTTTTAGTTTTTATGTGGTCTAATTTATTTATTTTTTGTTTTTTGCTCATACTTTTAGTATCAGATCTAAGAATTCACTGCCAAATCTGAAGTTATAAAAATTAACTTATTTTTATTTCTAGGAATCTTATAGTTTTAGCTCTTCAATTAAGGTCATTGATCCATATTAAGTCAATTTTTATATATGGAGTGAAATAAAGGTCCAACTTAATCCTTTTGCATGTGGTTATTTAGTTCTTTGAGTACCATTTGTTGAGAAACTAGTCTTTCTCTACTGAATGGTTTTGGCACCTTTGTCAAAAATCTGTTTGCCATAAATTTTTGAGTTTATATCAGTATTCTCAATTCTATTTCATTAGTCTATATTTCTATTCTTTTGCCAGTATTACACTCTTTTGACTACTGTAGCCTTGTAGTAAGTTTTAAAATCAGGAAGTGTGAGTAGTCCTACTTTGTTTTTCTTTTTCCATATTGTTTAGGTTATTTTGACCCCTTGCAGTTCCTTATGAATTTGAGTATCAGTTTGTCCATTTCTGCCCAAAAATACATTAGACTTTTGATGAGGAGTGTATTGAATCTGTAGATCACTTTAAGATTGCTATATTAACAATGTTTTTTTTTTTTTTTTATCCTTACCTGAGGACATTTTTCCATTTCTTGTTCAGATAGAGTGGGAGGGGGAGAGAGAGAGAGAAACATCGGTGTGAAAGGGACACATCAGTGGTTGCCACCCACATGACCCAACCAGGGCCGGGGACAAACTGCAACGGAAGTACATGCCCTTAGCGGGACCCAAACCTGGGTCTCTCTGGACCGCAGGCCGACGCTCTAACCACTGAACGAAACTGGCCAGGACTGTATTAACAATGTTAAATATTCTAATTTGTGAACATGGGATGACTTTTTATTTATTTAGGTCTTTAATTTTTTTCTGCAATGTTTTGTTTCCAGTGTACAAATCTTTCACCTCCTTTGTTAAATTTATTCCTGATATTTAATTTTTTTGATGCTATTGTAAATGGAATTGATTTCTTAATTTCTTTTTTGGATTGTTCATTACTAATGTATAGAAACACAACTGATTTTTGTATGTTGACACGGCAACTGTGCTGAATTTGTTTATTAGCTTTGGTAGTATTTTTGTGTATTCTATGAGATAGAATATGTCTAGCACATTGATGTCTCTCTCTCCCTCCCTCCCACTCTAATGATAAATGGAAAAATATTCTCAGGTGAGGAATAAAAAATAATAAATAGAGATTTTCTAACTATAGAATCATATCTCTACGTAGAGATAATTTTACTCTTCCTTTCTAATTTATACACCTTCCATTAATTTTTCTGGCCAAATTGCTCTGGCTAGGACTTCTCAGTACGATGTTGAATCAAAGTGGTGAAAGCAGCCATCCGCCATCCTTATCTTGTTCTTTTTTTTTTTTTTTTAAAGAGGAGAGCTTTCAGTCTTTCACCATTGAGTATGATGTAAGTTGTGGAATTTTCATAAATACTCTTTATCATGTTAAAGAAGTTCCCTTTTATTTCTAGTTTGCTGAGTGTTTTTTCTATTAAAGGGCATCAAATTTTGTCAAATACTTTTTCTGTAACTATTGAGGTGATCATGTGATTTCTTTTTTCCCTTTGTTCTATTAATGTGGAGTATTATATCAAGTGATTTTATGTTGGGTCATCTTTGCATTCCTGGGATAAATCTCACTCAGTCATGGTGTATAATACTTTTAATGTGCTATTGGATTTGTTTTGTTTTTTTGGAAGATTTTTACATCTATATTCATAAGGTATATTGAGTTGGAGATCTCCTGTGCTATGTAAGACTCTGAAGTATCAGGGTAATTCTGGCCTCATAGAATGTGTTAAGAAGTATTCCCTTCTCTTCTATTTTTGGGGAAAATTTAAGTGGGATCGATGTTAATTTATCTTGAAATGTTTGATTGAATTCACTAGTGAAGCCATCTGGTCGAGGATATTTCTATGATAGAAGATTTTTGACTACTCTTATAATCTCTTTTCTTGTTATAGGATGTTTGAGATTTTCTGTTTCTTCTTGAGTCAGCTTAGGTAATTTGTGTGTTACTAGGAATTTGTTATTTTTATCTAAGTTATCTAATTTGTTGTCATACAATTATTCATAGCATTCTCTTATAATATTCTAATTTATGTAAGGTTGGCACTAATGTTCCTGCTTTTAGTTTTAATTTTAGTTATAGTCATGCCCCACATTCTGACATTCTGGTCAGCAACAGACTGCATATAAGACAGTGGTCCTGTGAGATTATAATGGAGCTGAAAATTTCTATTGCCTACTGATGTCATAGCTGT